TAAATATTCCAGATACAATTTATGTTTAAATATTTTTTGTTTAGGCATAGATGGACCCAATACCTTTATTTTGCTTATTTAGTTTTATGTGGTGCCGAGAATTGAACCCAGTGCCTCACACATGCAAGGGAAGCACTCCACCACTGAGCTACAACCCCAGCCCCCAGTCACAATACTTTAGCAGATAAATTTTTGCAAACTTATATTAGTCTGTGGCTTGCCTTTTCAGTTTATGAACAGTGTCTTCTGAAGATCAAACTGTTTTATTTTAAATAAAGTCAAAACCATCAATTTTCCTTTTGTTGTTCATGTTTTTAATATCATCACACCTTCACCTAATTCACTGTCAAAAATGTTTCCTCCTACAAATGGTAGAATTTCTGGTCTCACATGAAAGTCTCCAATGTATTTTAAGTTAATTTGTGTGTGTGTGTGTTTTAAGGTAAAGGTAAAGATTATTTGTTTGCCTGTGTTGTTCAAATGTCATAGTACCACTATTGAAATGATAATCCTTTGGCACAGTGACTTTGGTCAATAATCATTTGATCATATTTTGCTCAGCTAATATGCATGTCTACCCCCACACCTTTTGTACACTATTTTAATTACTAGAGCTTTAAGGTAAGTTTTGAAATGAGGTACTGTAAGCCCTCCAACTTTTTCTTTAGGGGCTATCCCAGGTCCTTTGTGTTTCCACTTAAAATTTGAGATCATCTTGTCAGCATCTACAAAGATATCTGTAAGAATTTTAACAGGAATGCACTGAATTTATTAATCAAATACAGATAAAATACCATCTTAACAACTTCCAATCCATGAACATGGTATACCTTCGTATATTTATCATTGTATATTTATCTAGGACTTCTTTATTTTCTCAGCAGCGCTTTTCTTTTCTTTTTTTTTCAAGTCTTCATACGTGTACTTTGGATAATGATGTCTATCACATTCCACCATCCTTGCTAATTCTTTGCCCCCTCCCACCTTCTTCCCTATCTAGAATTCATCTATTCCTCCTATGCTCTCTCCCTCCCTACCCCACTGAGTGTCAATGTCCTTATATCAGAGAAAACATTCCGCATTTGTTTTTTTGGGGATTAGCTAACTTCACTTAGACTCAGCAGTGCTTTTCATTTCCAGTGTAGTTGTCTCATGCTTCATTAAATTTATTCCCAAGCATATTCTTCTTTTTGATGCTATTGTGAATCAATTTAAAATTTTCACTATTAGACTGGTCATATCTTTTTTTTTTTTTTTTTTGAGTATCAGGGATTGAACTCAGGGACACTCGACCACTGAGCCACATCCCTAGCCCTATTCTGCATTTTATTAGAGACAGGGTCTCATTGAGTTGTTTACCACTTCACTAAATTGCTGAGGCTGGCTTTGATCTTGTGATCCTCCTACCTCTACCTCCTGAGCCACTGGGATTACAGACATGGCCACCGTGCCCAGCGGGACTGTTCATCTCTAATAAAATAACAATTTATGTGTTTATAAGCCTTTACTTTTACCATATTCCTTTTTTGTTGTTTTGAATAACATATTCTTCACTTTCAGTGTTAAATATCAGCTCTAACCTCATTATTCCACTTCCCTTCTACCAAAATAAGTTATACCAAGAGGAAGGCAAACATTTCCACCATCTCTTTAGGAAATTATCTGGTTTAGAACAGTAATTCAAAGTGAGCCATTAATAAACAAAGCTCAGATAGTCCACTATTTGTGCTATATAACATTTAAAATTATATTTAGCAAAAACCAAACTTATAACATATTTTTTTAAGTTGGTATAAAGAGTCTCTCTGCTTCCCACTCTTAAAAATCTTAGTTTTCATGTTTGAACAAATTCAACTCACAACCTCTTTTGTAAATAAAACATAACTGAAGCATAGCCATGCTCATTTGTTGTGGCTGTCTTTGATCTATAACAGTAGAGTGTATATGTTTTACAAGCCTAAAGCCAAAGTTCACTATTTGGTCCTTTACAAAGTCTGCTGTATGAATCAGGCAAACATTGCACTCTCTTAAATTAAGAAGAATTAATATCCAATGTGTAGCACTACAGAATGTTTGTATCACTGCTTAAATGTCAATCTTGATACCTAATTCCCAATGTGAGGCTATCTGGAGGTGGAGTCTTGAGGATGTGATTGGATCATATGGCAGGATCCTCATCATGAAATTGATGCCCATAGAGAAGAGACCTAGAAAACTCTCTTGCTCCTTCTACCAAGTGAGGTTACAAAGAGAATCTCAATAACTATGAGTCAGAAGCCAGCCTGCACCAGACCAAATCTGTGAGCCTGATCTTAGACTGCTCAGCCTCCAGAACTGAGAGAAATTTCCATTTTTTATCAGTTTGTGGTACTATGTCACAAAAGCCCAAACTAACTAATAAGATATGTAAGAATACTCTGTTCCCTAAATATTTTTCCTTAGTCTTTATCACCTAAACTTTTCAATTATTTTTCCTCAAAATTTTTAAAGTTTATTTGAAAATATTGGCTATTAAAAAAAAACACTGAATATTAGAATAAGTTAAGTTTCACAAGTAAATTACCTAATATGGACCAGAATAATACAGCCTGTATATGAATGTTGAATGAAGAGAGCTACAAAAAAAAAAAAAAAAAATCAAACTTATATTGTGTCAAAAGATTTTAATTTACACACGGATCTGTTTTAGAAAACAATGATACAATAAACACCTCATAAAGACTATAAAGCAGATAGATTCAAGAAATTTAAAACTGTTGAGTACTCGGAGAAGTACAAATTATTCGTTTTAAACATTTAAAACCCAGCTGTTCAAAAAATATGCACACCACATAAAACTAGACTGAAAGATGTAAGTAGAATTGTATAATACATGGACAATAACTTTGAGCAACACATAAGAATGTTCAAATCCCATCCATCTAGTGTAACTGGGTTGTAGCTCAGTGGCAGAGCTTTTCCTTCATATGCGTGAGGCCCTAGGTTTGATCCTCAGCACCACATAAAAATAAACAAACAAAAATATAGACATTGTGTCCATCTACAACTAAAATATTTTCTTAAATAAGCATATATGAGTAACAAGAAAGAAAAAGTAAAGTCAAACACAAAAACATAAATGGGTATAAAATGAAACAGAAGAGACCTTAAAATATCAAAACACACATTTTTCCAGTTAATTATTCCCCTGCTATTTGTTTCCTAATAACAATTCAGATGGCAAAACCCAACTCATTCTAATCTGTTCCATCAGCAGTGTCAGATTCCAACACCTGAATTCTGTTCTAAATGTCAGTTACATATACACAACTATCATTTTCTCTCCGAAAACTTACATAAAGAAAAAACACACAACTATCTGTCTTACCATAAAGATTTTACCCAACTATTTGTCTCTAAAGCAGCACTATCCAATAGAATTTTCTGAATAACAGAAAAGTTCTCTATGTTAGTCACATGTGGCTGTATAACAACTGAAATGGGACTAGTGTAACTAAGGACCTGAACTGTAAGTTTTAATTAACATATTACATTAAATTAACATTAACCACATGTAGCTAGTGGCTACCATATTGAACAGTACTCATCCAAAGTACTAGAAAGTTAACTTCACAGATTTCTATTGGTTCAGAAAAGAAATAATTTCCTTTTTCTTGCTATGAATTAACTAACCTTCTAACCCCAAGGCATATTACTTCTGCTTTAGCAAGTAAGTAGCACACAAATCCTGTTTTCAGTAACGTAATCTGGTTTTTCTCCTACCATCTCCAGATGAAAAAAATACAGCTAGTTTTTATCAGATATCAAGGGTACTGCAGTTTTACTTTGAACCAGCCATCTATACAAGGTTTTAAAAACAGGATCATAAAGGTGCAGATTGCTTCACCTAAAACACCACCAAAATGTTCTTTTTTCGCTTATAAAAACTAATTCAAGGGCTGGGATTGTGGCTCAGCCTTGCATGTGTGAGACCCTGGGTTCGATCCTATAAAAAAGCACCACATAAAAATAAATGAATAAAATAAAGGTACTGTGTCCAACTACAACTAAAAAATAAATATTAAAAAAAAAACTAACTCAAACTTCAAGAACTTTTAACCGTTGATTGGTGAAGAACACAACAGAAGGGTGATGAATAGTGTAAACACAGACCATGCAAAATAAAGTGAGTCTTAGAAAAGCACTCATCAAAAGCTGCTGGGCTGATTTATTGTGCAAAACTCTTGCAGACATTTGTGTTTCCAAATTTTGAAAAATAATGGACAAATGTTATATATCACTTGTCAGGTATTATGGAACACTCCAGCAGGAACTGTTAGTATGCTCTGTCCCTGGGTTTTACATTAAGTACCTTTTACATATCTCTATTTCCAAATTTATATCTCTAATCCTCCTATCCAGATCCCAATATGTGTAGACCTAGCTACCCAACTGCCATTACATGCCTCCAGTTACTTAAAGTCAACATTATTTACTCAACAAATACTTATTGAGTGTTTACTATACACCAAACATTGTTTTAGGGGCTGAATAAATACCCACTTGAAATGCACTATATCCTCAAAATGACCCCCACTTTTGAGTAAAGTATGGAAGCTGGGACTTCCTTATTTTCTACCCGCACTACCCATCAATCTTCCACCCCTTCTAAATTACCCAAGTCTCTCTCCAATTCATTCACTCCACCCCACTTCACTGCTGTCACCTATCGACTAGTAGAGGAAATATGGCACCACAGGACATCTGAAAACATCTGGACTCATGGTTGTCACACTTGGGGGGTGCTGCCAAGATCTTCTAAAGGTCCTTCAGTGCACAGGTCAGTCCTGAACATCAAAGAACTAGCCACTCTAACATGCCAGCAATGCAGAGGTGAGCAGCTGCACTCTAAGTGACTGGACGTGATGCGTAGCACCAGCTCGGCAGTTTTCCCCTTAAGGAATCATGATTCAGAATTATTTTTAGTATAACAAATAAAATTCTCTGAGTTGAGTACTCACTTGTGCATGCTCTCCACTCCTATTATGATCATAATGCAGTAGGAAATCCCACTTTGCACAAGAAAATGTAAGGCATACCTGTAACAAAGTAAGAGTCCTGTTAGAAGAAGTCACAGACATCGAGCTCAAATAACTTAAGCTAACAAATACTTAGACAGAACCCAGAACATTCCCAGATTAAAAAAATAAGGAATAAAACCTACAAAGCCAAAAATTCACTGGAGCAGCAGTCCCATGTTCAGCCCCAGAAGCTGGAAACCAACCCCTAAACACTACACTCAGTGGCCCAGGATTCCATGTCTCCCAGCAACAGGAAGCAGGGTGGGGTCTGTGGCTCAAGGACCACAGCCTTCCTCCTACTCAAGCCAGTGAGTGAAGGGCAGCGTTCAAGGGAGCCCTGCACAACATCCGCTGTTCCCAAGCTGCCTTCTCCAACCCTAGCTTGACTCTGCCTTTCTCTGTTGAACAACTGTACTCACAAAACAACAAAAAGTACTGAGTATTAGCACTTACTAAAAAATGAGTATGCCCAAATCTATTCACAAAACAATTCTAATAAATTTAGAATATATTTGTCATCTGATAATTTGCTGTAATGTATCTACAAGACACTCTGGCTTACATGGAAGCATTTTCTAATATCTTAATGTAGAAATCAACAAATGAGAGAATTTATCCATTCATTTCACAAAATTCAGGCAACATAGGATTAGGATCTCTGGGATTAAAATCCATCACACCATCACTGAGGTCACGCACGTGCGTGCACCCTCTTTCAATCTTTCTCCTTTGGTGGCATCAATAATTCAAGATAAAAATTTCAAATCACTGTGTACAACTAAAGTATTAATAAATGTCTAAAACCTATGATTAGAATCACTTTTTAACTTAATCATTATGAAATAACTGCCACCACTGATGTAGAAAAGTTACTTAAATATTTGAACACACTTTCCGCACGTAAGGAAGAAGGACAAAGGCAGGCACAGAGGAGGAACTCCCTTTGCCCACTGGGCCAGGCAGGCCGCTCTGCTCCTGCCTCTCACACACAGGACACAATGCTGGCCTGCAGTGCTGCCGTGGTCAGAGCGCTAGGAGATGGCTGAAGACCTTTAGGAGTATAAATTCAAATATAAAGAGGCTTAAAAGAAAAGCATGATTAACACACACCCTTCTCAAAATCATCCACATCCTATTTATTGCCAGCACAACAACTCACTCTCAGACTTGAGCAAACAGGTTGAAGGGCCTGCTAGATTCTTTCAGGGGCTTTTAAAACTGAGAGTACAGCTCATTAAAGGTACTTATCTTAAACAAGAGAAAAGAAAATAAGCTGTAGTATTCTTTGGGGAAAGTTTTACTTTTCTATGAGTAAATTTCCTTGGAATACAAGACATGAAAACTCTGAGGCCAATGATTTTATTTCTCAAGCAGCACTATGTTGCCCACTGTCACTTTCAGGTGCCCACTCTCCTGGCATCGCCATTCTGACGACCTGCCAGTGCAACGCATGGGCAGCTGTCTAGAGCACCTCCACATCCAGCACCAGCTGCTGCTCGAATGGTCACTGCACTTGTGACGTCCTCGTGCTTTCCTGCGACTCCGCCTGTCCTCATTAGGAAGATGGGTGCAACGGATCTACACAGCCACTTGGGTCTTTCAGGACTGAGCGAATACAAGAAAGCACTGACCGGGTTACCTGGCAGGGAAAGCACCCAACTAGTAAGCATTATTAATAAAGTAAAAAAATTAGAAAATTTTAAAGAAATTTTTAAGTTTTCTTTTCTAGGAAAAAAAATTAGAAAAAGAATTTTAAGATGCTCTCTAACCAACCCTCATAATTTCAGAGTTAAGGAAACTAAGCTGGTATTCTAGTCAACAAGAAAACTTGTGTTATCTCTGGCCAACCTGTCCACTGGTTGATTCTTCAAGGGGCGGGTTGAGGTAGAATGTGCATCATAATCTTTTCAGCTGTGTGAGCACTTTGAAAATAAATGCTTTCTCCCCAAATTTTAATTTATTTTTTACTTCAGTTGTATTAGTATTTTATTGACCGACTGGCTGATTGATAGAGGTGCTGGTGATGGAACCATGCTGGCCTCATGCATGCTAGGCAAATGCTCCACCACTGAGCCACATGCTTAGCCCTATTTTTATTTTATTTTTTACTTTATTTTATTTTCTGGTACAAGGGATTGAACTCAGGGGCACTCAACCACTGAGCCACATCCCCAGCCCTATTTTGTATTTTTTATTTAGAGACGGGGTCTCATTGAGTTGCTTAGCACCTCACCATTGCTGAGGCTGGCTTTGAACTTGTGATCCTCCTATCTCAGCCTCCAGTCCAGAGCCACTGGGATTACAGGCATGCACCACCACACCCAGCTAGCCTTAATTTGTTTTTAACTAACACATGTTATTTATTTTGAATTTCAAATCACACTAAAGATAGACATAAATTTATTTAATAGAGCACAAGTTTTAAAAAGGCTGAAAACATTTGATTTTTTCAACTACTTATTGAATATTATTATTATTATTATTATTATTATTTTGAAGTGTTGGCGATTAAACCCAGGGTCTCCAGGTTTTTGGGTAAGCACTCTACCACTGTACTATAACCCCTGTCCCCTGAATTGTCATTTTCTGAAAACCACTGTGGTAGACACTGGAAATATAAGAAAAGATGACACCATTTCTGGCCTCAGAGAGCTTCCAGTCTAGAGAGAAACACACAAATAAAACAAGAACACTACTCCAATACTGTATGATAAACACTAACAAAGAAATTGGATAAGCACAAAAATTTCCAATCTGGATCACCAACTAGATGGACAGGAACCCAGCTTGTGCATTTGTAATCTACAAATTCAGTCCCAACGGCTTGCCTCCAGAGCATTCCAGAGGACAGGTTTGTGGATCGGAGATGCTCAACTATTTCAAAAACTATGGAACCAGAAACACTTTTGGTCCCAAGCATTTCTGATAAGGGACACTCAACCTGTGACACATAAGTGACCTTGAGTAATGGCCCCTGCTCACAGCGTCTGCTGTAGCACCTTGGCTTTTAGTGCTCAGAATAATCACTTACTGCACTTTACACAGAAGCAAGTGAAGCTAACAGGGGTCAAATAACAAGTCCAAAGTCAGACCGCTACAGGCAAGGCCCCCAGACCTTATCGGGTCTATCTGACTTCAAAGTCTAAGCTTCATTTCATTACCCTATACAGTTACCAAAGGTATTTAAATGATTTTAACTATTAACTAATTTTCAGTTTTTAAAAAAAAAAAAAAAACCTTACAAATGATAGTTTAAAAAAAATTGAGAACAAGCAGGAGTAGGTAAAATAATCAATTATTACAGAGTACAAATGTATGTCCTTCCAAAAGGAAGTTGTAAAAACCAGTAGCAGATGATTACCTTTAAGTCTGAAAAACAAAGTGCTAAAATGTAAATGAGAAAAATATTTCACTTCTCACTAGCTAAATTCAACAAGCGAAGAGTGATCTTACACATGATGCAGAGGCATCAACACCTCTCTTCCCAAAGGAAGGAGGGCAAAATGGATTTCTCCTTTAAGAAAGGAAAACTCAATTTTTAAAAATCCTGATTATCACATATAACTTGAAATACTAAGATTACATAGCTGGGCATGGCAGTGCCTGCTGAAATGCCAACAACTCAGGAGGATGAGACAGGAGGATCGAAAATTTCAGTCAGCCTCAGCAACTTAGCAAGACCCTTTCTGAAAATTAAAAAGGGTTCAGGATGTAGCTCAGTGGTAGAGCACCCGTGGGTTCAATGCCCAGTACCAAAAAAACCTTGCAATTATCTAACATTAAAGCCAGGTATCATGTGCCACCATGTTACGAAGCGTCCAAGGCAGCTTGCATGTCAAGGAAGTGCTTCTTCAGTAAAGAACAGTGAAGCAGAGACCTGACGGCCCTACCTCTATGTTACAGGGCCCCTAGCGTCATCATCCACTGTTGCCACAGGCCACAGGCCACAAATTGAGTGATATGCCCTGGCCAACCTCCTCCAACCCTCATGAGAACATTCTACAAGTACATATTGAAAACCCAAGTTACTTATGTGTAAAATGTATAGGCAGGAATGTACTTCACTCTAGAAAAATAAACTGGGATAAGTAAGAATGGTAGGTTTGATACCTGTTGAAGCTGGTAATGGGCAACTGAGAGTGTGTACTCCTGTGTTTAAAATTTTTCATAATAACTTTTTTAAATGGGTGTTTATAAATAAACATAAATAAATATAAACACATTAATGTTTATATTTTTCCCCCATTGCATGATTTACCAGAAGCCTTGGTTTCTACCCAAGAAAACTTTTTTTTTCATTTTTTATTTCACTTTATTCTTAATATACTAATATCAACTATATAGTATCATTGACCAATGCATACAGAAAAGCTAACGATTTAGATATTAACAATAAAATAACGAAGTAAAATATTAACTTTAACGCTATCAAGGGCCTCAAGCAGGTCTGTTTATAGATCTACACTATCCAAAACTGGGCCACTAGTGATGTGCAGTTATTGTGCACTTGAAATAAATGTGGCCAGTCCTAATGGAGATGTGCTGAAGGTGGAAAATACACACATTTATAAGATTTAGTTTATGGGGGGGAAAAAAGGAGAAATGTCTCATTAATGTTTTTCATACAGATTTAAGTTCATCTGTTTCACTTTACTTTTAAATGGCTATGGCTCACATTTCATTTCTGTTGGACAGCACTGTTACAGCTGACCCTGTTTTGCAGATTAGAGTTTGTTAAGCTTACTAGACCAACTTTATATAGTTTTTCTAGAAAAGATGTAGCAATTTTGAGAGTATGAATCCTGGGAAAGAATCCTTTCTCTTGCTGATGCTCAAGGGGCTTCCTCCTTCCCTCCCCAGATTCCTACCTTAGTGCCACATAATCAGGCTGGCTTATTTTTGTTGAAGTATCTATAATCTGACAATTTTATCTAAGGGAACAAATGTCAAAAAGATATAAGAAAATTCTAGTTGCTTGAATACTTGATTTTCAGCAAGAAGCCAATTCTATACACTTCAAAATTTTCATGGAATGTGCCCCGCCAAGTTTTGCACACCTTTTATTACATAATGGCAGGAATTTAAAATCTTTTTAATCTTAGAAAGATGGGCTTGTTAAGATTTGGTGATTTTTTAAAACAAAATTAAAGATGTATGTTTTCTGAAGTCAAAGTTTGCTGTTGGGTTTCTTCAGGTGAAGCAGAAGGCAGCTGGCTTAGTTGAAATGATGGCTTTACTCCGGAAGAGAGTTGAGGATGATGAACATGTGCAGCGCAAGACTGAAAGTGTGTTCCATGAACTCCTCCTGTAATTCGAACCTCTCATTCAGGTTTACCTATTCAGTCTTGAGCTGTCTCGGGTGGCAGTGCCCATGGGGAAAATGCCTACTGGCTGTTCAAATCTGTGCAAACCCATCCATCTGAATCCCTTTCAATCCTAGCATTGGGTTGAAAATTTCTATACTAAAGAGCACATTTTGTAAATTTACTCTAATTACTTATACATGAGAATACATGAGAATGCATTTTAGCACATCATACATATATGAGTATAACTTCTCATTTGTCTGGTTATACATGATATAGAGTTACTCAAGTCACGTAAATCATTTATGCACATAGGGTAATAATGTCAGATTCTTTCTACTATCATTCCAACCCCACGTCCCCTCCCCTGCCCCTTCACTCCTGAATACCACTATTCTCCCCCACCACCCTCTTGTTGTGAATTAGTATCAGCCTTTGGTTCTGGGATCGGCTTATTTTACTTGGCAGAATATTCTCCAGTTGCATCCATTTATTGGCTAATGCCATTATTTCATCCAAGAAAACTTTGATGACACAAATCTGATGTCATCAAGGAAGGAAAAGACCATGTTTGGATCCACCTGGGAGATCAACTCACACCTCCTCTTGCACACATGCATGCCCAAAACAGCACCCTGACTCAAGGCTGGCCACAGGGCCATGCAGGCAGAGATACAATAAATTATTCCTGGGGCTGGAGATGTGGCTCAGCGGTAGTGCGCTCGCCTGGCATGCGTGCGGCATGGGTTCGATCCTCAGCACCACATACCAACAAAGATGTTGTGTCTGCTGAAAACTGAAAAATAAATATTGAAATTCTCTCTCTCTCTCTGGAAAATAAAATAAAATAAAATAAAATAAATTATTCCTCAGTGACTTTTCATGAGTTTCTAGGAAACACCTGCAATTGCCAGAGGCAAAAATTAGACTAAGAAATACCAACACACTCCAGAATGCTACATCATCCCAGAACAAACAGAAGTGTCATCAGACTGCAGGTGCCACACCCCGTGGGGGCAAGTGGCTGGGATAGACCACGCGGGTGCACTTCCACCTCACCGCACTCCTCCTGGAGTGGTGAGCAATCAGCAAGTGACATGCAAGGTAAGTGTCCTAGAAAGGACACCAGAGGGAAGCACCAAGCAGCCCTTCACCAAGAGTCCACCTGATTAAGATGCTCTCCCTGGCACCAAGGAGGCACTGTTCTGGATGAAGGCTCTCACGTAGCCCACATAGAGAAGGGGCTCACCACATAGAGAAGGACCACTCAGGCCCACGCGAAGGACGTAAATAAAGCTCTCCATCATAAATAACTTTTCTTCACCAAGAGCACACTCTTTTTGCCAACACAGTAGAACCTAAACAATGGTAAGAGAGCTCTCTCAATATGGACATTACCAGACTCTTAGAAGTCACTAGCACCAAAAAAAAAAAAAAAAAGAAAAGAAAAAAGAGAAAGAAAACCATCACCAGCACCACAGCCATTTAAAATGTTCGGTCTTGGCATAAAAGATTTGCAAAATGCTGCAAAGAACTACCCAGCCAGATGAAAATGTCTTTTTACATCCTTTTTTATCTGTCCTTTTTCACAAGTTACAATTTAGTAAATTCCTCTCTAAGACCAACCAAAGAGTGAGAGCCCACTCCCCACTCTTTGTTCTGCTATTAAAAATAAAAATTTTAAGTCTTGAGAGAAAACTTTATAAGCAAATAAAAGAACAAAACTCTTAAATGTATCTTCAGCAGCTCAATTCTCAAATATATCCAAATAGTCTTCATTTAAATGTGATCAAAATAATACTTACCATCCAAAGCAAAAAAGTGCAAGATAAAGGCCCAAAAGGGTAGCAACTATATGTCTTATAAAAGAGCTAGTTTTGCTTGAATGTAGATAAGTTCGAAACCAAATGGCTGCTAACAAGGCAAAGAGTTGGCACACTACAAAGTTGACCTGTAAAGAAAAATCAAAATTTTATATTAGCAACAGACTTGATTTTTCATTTTATGGTACATTTAAATTATCAGGACAAAAACATCATGTTTACATAAAATTAAGAGCTTCCAGTTTAAAAAACAAACAAACAAAAATCCAGCCAGCCCAGGGAGGAACCTCAAGCTTGGACACCCTCTGTGCACACTGCACCTGTCAGATGGGCCCAGGTCGGGAGTCTGGAAGAGCACCTGTGTGGCAGAGGGAGCCCAGGCGCTGCAGCCCTGCACTAACTCTCCTGGGGGAAGAGAAGCTGGCCTCCACAGTGCTCCAGGGCATCCTGGCAGTGGGAGTGGGGCCTGTGAACCAAGGGCCCTGGCGGCTTAGTCTCAGGGACAGCAAGAGGACTGACCACAGACCTGCGGCCTTCAGAAAGCCACAGGGAAACACCTCCCCAAGTCCCCAGCAGCACCTCCAGTGGCCTCACAGTGGCCAGCAACCACAAAACCCCCAGGAGAGGCGAAGGCTCTGGGGCCCTGGCTGCTCTCTCCCGGAGCTCCACAGAAGGGCTCCGAACATGGTCTTCACGGGCACGTGGAGCCTCAAGGAAACCCACCATTTCTTTCTAGTGAGGCACAGTCTCACAGAATGTCCAGGAAGCTGTGTCCCTCAATCTGTGAGCACCAGACACCACGTCGCCCCCGAGGGGCGCAGCGCTCCGACACACCCGCCTGAGCCCAGTGTCCCGGACAGGCTGCAGCGCTTGTGCTCCTAAAGGGTTCCAACAGCATTTAAAAAAAATCAAACCCAAAGTAAAATACATCAGAGAAGTCAGTATTCTTGATATTAAAAACTGTTCGCGAGCTGGGGATGTGGCTCAAGCGGTAGCGCGCTCGCCTGGCATGCGTGCGGCCCGGGTTCGATCCTCAGCACCGATGTTGTGTCCGCCGAGAACTAAAATATAAATATTAAAAATTGTCTCTCTCTCTCTCTATCCTCTCTCACTCTCTCTTTAAAAAAAAAAAACTGTTCGTACTTCCATAGCTTTTTACAGTAAAAAAACTTCCAAATATATCAATTCTTTCTTTCAAATCTCTGAATAAAAATTAGGATATTTTTTTGAAGAAATTCTTTAAAAGGAAATTTCTTTCCTAATTTTAGAAAAAGAAATTAATAGAAAAAGAATTTAATACCGTCTACCCAAGAGTTGAAGAAAATAAGGTCTGACACCTGTAAGTCCCTCGCCGTGCATGCCCAAGGGGCAGCCATAGGCACGTACAAACGCCCAGGCCCAGCACCCGCCCAGGGTGATTCTGATATCTAATATACAAAGGAAACATGTGCACAGGATTTCAATCAATATTAGACAGCCTCTTTAAAAAGTCTGCAGATAGTGGTTAAGGACATCGTAAAGGAGAAGCCTGAGGGTGAATGTCACCAACAGGTGGAAATGCTGGGCCACAGCAGTAGGGAGTTCCAAATCCCTTTGTTTGAGGAACCTCCCTCCTTCTCCCTCAGCCTTCTCTCTCTTCCCATATGTGTATAGTAATATAATTTAAAACAAAGTGTGGGGGGTGGGGTGGTGGCTCAGTGGGAGAGCACTTGCCTACCACATGTGAGGAACTAGGTTCCATCCTCAGCACCACATAAAAAGAAATAAATAAAATACAGGTACTGTGTCCATCTACAACTAAAAATATTAAAAACAAAGAAACAAACAAAAAGTGTGAAGCTGGGCATGGTGACGCAGGTTTGTCGTCCCGTAACAGGGGAGGCTGAAGCAGGAGGATCACAAGTACAAGGCCAGCCTCTGCAACTCAGAGGGACCCTGCCTCAAAATTTAAGAAGAGATGGGGATGTAGCACAGTGGCAGCTGCCCCCCGTCACCCCATTCAATTGTTACTACCACACACACTCAAAAAAATATATATATGATTACTATAGAAACATTTTAAAACTAATGACATATCGGACGGATTTTATAGAATCTTTGTGACCATCTATTTTCAAAATAGATGGGAGTCTGGAAGAGCACCTGTGTGGCAGAGGGAGCCCAGGCGTTGCAGCCCTGCACTAACTCTCCTGGGGGAAGAGAAGCTGGCCTTCACAGTGCTCCAGGGCATCCTGGTCATCTTTTTAGATCAAGAAAAGGAGATCAGATCTTACTCTAATCAAAATCTTTGGTGCCCGAATGTCTTTGTTAAAACACACCCGTGCACACATTCTTACAATCCTCAAGACATGAGAACCATCATGCTGGACAGTAAGGAAAAGGGGGGAACCCTACAACATTGAGGAAGCACTCAGTGATTAAAAGTGCAAATGAAGGGCTGGGGATACAGCTCAGTTGGTAGAGTGCTCGCTCGCATGCACAGGCTCTGGGTTCAACCCCAGCACCATAAGAAAAAAGAAAAAAAAGTGCAGGAGAGAAATGAACAGGGGATGGAGATGAGAGGGAGGGAGGGGCCATAAAATATAGCATTGAAAAACCACTGACAATTTTTTTTTCTTTTAAGAAAATGTGATTTGCACTGTGCTTCTGCATAGGAAGGAAAAGAACAAAGTGCATGTAGGAACACTATAGGAGGCCACTGCTCCAATGCCCGGAGGACAGAGGCCTAGACTTGCTGGAAGAGAAGTGAGCTAAAGAAGAGGGTCAGGGTGGGTAGCTAGACAGGGACTAGAGCATGGGAAAGGCAGCTCACAGCTGATGGATGCTGGGGAGAAGGTGGGCAGCAAGGGCAGTTTAGGGGAAATGGACTCTATCTTAGCTGTTCTTGGCTTGGGAGTGCCCAGGGGACAAGCTGGCACCCTGCAAACACAGCTCAGCATGACAGGAAACCTTAGGCAAAATCCCAGAGACCTGCAAAGCTCACACCCAAGGCCAAGCACCAACAGCAACAGAGGAGCAAGCAGAAGTATAAGAATGAATAGTCCTGGGGTGGGGGCAAATGCTCAAGCAGCCATGGTCACTGCCAAGTGTCAAAAGTCCAAAGGAGCCTCCTGATCTGGCCACCACTGGTGATCGTGGTGAGAGTAGCTGACAACTCCCCAGAGCCATATCTTATAGATGAGAAGATTTAAGTCCCAGTGTGGAGGGAGCCTAAGAATTCATACATTTACCCACTAACTGCCCAGGTAACCATGCGGGAGACAGGAAGATGCACAGAATGTGGTCCTGCTCAGGAAGAATGAGGAACAGTCCCAGTCCACAGCTGGAGCAGGAATCCAGTGCTAAGGCCTAGAAAACCCAGGGAAAGGGCAGCGCCCACCCCCCTGCGGAGGGGAGGCTTCCTGAAGGCAACCCTGGCCCACAGGCCTTGTAACTGCCTGTGAAGAATAAGACTGGGACAGTCGTCAGTGGTACAACTCTAAGGAGAGGGAGCAGCGTCATTCCTATCAAGATGTGCAGGACAGCCAGATGGAAAAGCCCAGATTATCTGTTACTTGGCTATGAGAGACTAGAAGACGTACACACCCAAAATTCCAATAACTCCTCTGAAAGTTCTTAAATGTAAAACTTCCCCACACAGAAATCCTATCTGTCTTAGTTGCTAAGATCAGGTGGGGCTGGAAAGGCAAATGGATTCTGAGGGAGAAAGAGCAAGAGTGCAGGTAGGCATGCGCCTCCAACAGGTCCTCCTTCAGGACCCCAGGGCTGCGGGTCGCGCTACCCACCACGCACTGTGCTCCTCACACTAACTCCGTCATTCAGTCCCAAGAACGGGGAGCTGCCACCCCAAGCCACTCAACCAACTAAGCACCAAGCTCAAGGTCACATAAAGGAAGACTTAAGCCCAAGTCTGACTGAGCCTGCGCTGTCCCAGCCTCTGCTTCCAGAGATGGTCTGAAGATCACACTCAATTGCTACAGGAAAGATTCTGAAAGACATGCTATCTCCTAGGTATGGCTGTTCTGTTTCCAAAAAACCCACAAAAGGCCATTTCACATAGCTAATAAACATGATCAAAAATATGCTGTGTGGAATTACTGTACACTTGTTTTGGCCTGTTACTGTTATCTTTCTATATAAGTTTTCTTCCAGGTGGAAAGAAGTAAACTAAAAAGATTTTACGTTCTTCTTTCAAAAACTATTTTACTGAAAATACAGACATGCCTCCATACCTGCAGGTTCCACAATCACCAGATTCAACTAACCATGGGTGGAAAATGTGTGTGTGTGTGTGTGTGTGTGTGTGTGTGTGTGTGTGTGTACTGAACACTCAGACTGTTCTTCTTGTCATTATTCTCTAAGCACTGTAGTATAACAACTATTTACATTGTATTAAGATTGTAAATCAGGGCTGGGATGTGGCTCAAGCGGTAGCACGCTCGCCTGGCATGCGTGCGGCCCGGGTTCGATCCTCAGCACCACATACAAACAAAGATGTTGTGTCCGCCGAAAATAAATATTAAAACAATTAAAAAAAAAAAGATTGTAAATCATCCAGAGATGAGCTAAGTATACAGGAAGTCACATTCAATACTGCACCATTTTAAATAGGAGACTTGACAGCCATGAATTTTGGTATGTGAGGGGGATTCTGGAACCCTCCTCCCCAGTACTGAGGCACGTCTTTCGTATTGAAATGACCTAACCCCTGAAGTAATGAGCCTTCAAACTGCATTCAGTAATGCGGGAGTGGGAGGCAAAGGTGGACAGCACAGGCAAAGGAGAAAGAGGCAACAGCGAAAAACTGAAACCCTTTGAAGACTTATAACACATCTGTTTCTTACAAAAGAAATTTGTTTAAAAAACAAAACAAAATTAAAAAAAAAACTGCATCTAAAAATACTTAGAAAAGCCATGGTTTAGATAGGACAGAGGGGTGATTATTCTACATAGTGTAAGGGAAGTATTTTTTTCAACACTGAGGGACTGGGTTCAATTTAACACGTAAGTTAGTGTCTGACACGGAGTTTGAAAGCCACCTTAGCACTTAGTGGCTCATAAAACTTCAAAGTAATAGTAACAAGATTATCTTTTAAAGACATTCAAAGAATTTAATAATAAGTCAAAATAAATTTGAAAGAAGTTTAAGAGATTCCTTAAGAGGAAATTTGAAAGCCTTTCCCAAGGGAAAAAAAAAGACATAAAAAAGACCGGTAGATTTTGAATATACAAAGATTTTTTTAACTACATACGGGAAAATGCAAAGAAAAAAAAGCAAAAAACAAAAAGTGGGGGAAATTATCTACAAAACATGACATTTATTTAATATACTGAAAACTTTTACATAGCCATGAGAAAATTATGAACTACCAAAAGCAAATTGGACAAAAAGGTATGCAAATTTTAAAATGTCAATGTCTCATTCAGATTTAAAAAATGTTCTTTTTCAACCCTAACTAAAGACGTGTGCATTAACCACCAAGAGGCACTGCACTTCACCTCCACTGAGGATCTGCTGGCTAAGATGATGCATGGACCAGAACTCTCAACTGCCAGAAAAGAAATCTTCAGGACCATCTTTCTGTAGTCAATGTTCCAGAAAAGAGAGCAAAGCAGGCCCCTCCATCTGCCCATGATTACACAAAGAGCAAGACAGACTTGGTGATTTAAGCTGGTGAGGTCTGGGGATGGCCTGTTAGTGCAGCATAACCTAGTTAGTTTTTCCTGACTTGATATATAAC